AAGCTGAAGCCTATACTCAACAAAAAGAACCTTGAGACAGTGATCCACGCCTTCATAACATCTAGGCTTGATTACTGCAATTCACTTCTGTTTGGAATCAGTCAGTCCTCCATTGCTCGTCTACAACTGGTCCAAAATGCTGCAGCCCGATTTTTACCTGGTACAGGCTATAGAGAGCACATCACGCCAGTTTTGGCCTCCCTGCACTGGCTACCCATTCACCTTCGGATCAATTTCAAAATTCTCATGTATGTTTTTAAATCACTGAACAGTTCCGCCCCATCCTATCTCACTGATCTTCTGCAGCCATATGTCCCACCGCGCTCTCTGAGGTCAGCAGACCAGATGCTTCTCTCAGTCCCAGAAACCCGTCGTAAGCTCAGAGGTGACAGGGCTTTCTCTGTTGCAGGTCCACGACTGTGGAATGAGTTGCCACTGAGTGTCCGGCAGGCTCCCACACTCTCAGTCTTTAAGTCTCGCTTGAAGACCCACTTCTATTCTCTTGCCTTTAACACGGTGTGATTTGTTTTGGTCCGGTCTGTTCTCTACTCTGTTGGCCATTTTAGTTAGCTTCTGCTGCTATTTGTATCTGTATTTCTATTTTATGTTTTCCTGTCTGCTGTGCATGTTTGGTTCTTTTGTACAGCACTTTGGTTGGCCTTGTTGCTGTTTTAAGTACTATATAAATAAATTGGTATGGTATGGTATGGTATGGTATCTCAGATCTTGATAAAACCGTCCACAGGACCTGATTTAATTTTGCTGGATTTTTCTACCTGGATTATTGAGCATGCATCAGGACCTCGTGTAGTTTGAAGGGTGGAGCGTCACGCTCTGCAGGCTTGAACGAGCGCTCCTGGACAATCATCCCTGCTGGTGCTACAGGGCGTCTGTTTTCAGGAAAGTGTGGGAGCAGCTCCTCCACTTATGTCTTCACTTGTAGAGATCCAGCCGTCCCTCCTGCAGGTGGACTGAGCGTCTGTGGAGCGCTCGCTGGGAACATCTCAGTGAGCCGCAGCATGGTCTCAGGAACTTGGTGTAACCCTCTGCGTCACTGTTCAGTGGGAAGCAGCTGATGTTGGAGAGGCAGCTCCTCAGAGTCCCTGCTGCTCGTCTTCAGACCCCCACGTGCCTGAAACAGCCAGAGAAGCAACGAACCATTTCAAAGAAGCGCGTTCAGGTTCAACACTTCTGCTGTGACCTGTTCCTCATGACTGTGACATGCAGCGTGTGGAGGTAGTCCATCACCCAGAGTCATCACTGCAGGACACAACATCACATGAAGATTTAAAGATGTGGTCTGAAGACATCAGAACCTCACCTTCAGGTCGAAGCAGTACAATAAACAGAGGAAACCTTGAAGTTTCAGAAACAGTTTAAACATTGTGAAACAGGAGGATCAGAAGATCTGGGCTGACCTGACGTAGATCCCCAGATCTGGAACACGTGAAGACTCGTCATGCTGGACTTCAGACGTTCCTCCACCTCTGTGTGCATCTTAAGCTCGTCATGTTCGTACCAGAGCCAGATGTAGAGCTGAGCACCGAGGAGCCCATGAGCAGCACAACACCCAGGCACACGTAGGACTCTTCCTGGTAGAAGTTCACTGCAGCCAGAATGTCCAGCACCATGTCCAACAGAGACAGACTCACAGAGGACAGCAGGAAATCCACAGAAGAACTCTTGAAGTGAACCGTCTGGTCCGTCTGCAGCTTCATGACGTTCATACAGACACAGCAGACCAAAGACTGAAACTAAGAGTAGTAGTGGCCCCGCCCACAGACCCTGACGGTTAAATGGCCCTGCCCAGACCC